TTGGGAGTGAACACTAAGGCGTCTGGTTGTCTTCAAAATCCGGCATGAGTGCCACACATGGTTCCAACTAGCACAGCAGACGTACAGAACGAAAAGTTCAACATCGCACGTGACCAGTGGAGCACTGTATTCGAGTAGAAAAAGTGGAGACGACGAGCAGCATGAAATAGAAAAAGGTCTATTGAAAAATACGCAGAAAATGGACCACTTACCGATAGCCATAACTTTTTTCAACGAATTCAACCATACTCCAGTATCATTCAAGCCGCTACCAGGACTGGCTTTCAAGTGGAATCGAGCGCACAAGTTTACGCCTGCGAGTTCAAGAGCGTTTACGAACCAACGGATCCCATGACCTGCCAGATATTTGCACCGCAAGTTGATAATTGGATAAGCCACTAGTTGTCCGGGACCATGGTAAGTGATCAGACCTCCTCGATCAGTTCTAAAAGCAGAGTGACGATAAGACCGGCGAGTAAAGTGAAATGATTTCAACTTAAAAATTTATTAACGGAAGAATGGGTGAAAGGGCTAAGCGACTGCAAAATTTTTTAACAAAACGGAGAAACATTCCCTAGTAGAAGACGACCACAACAAAACATCCAGTCGGCATACATTACAGTGATACTGCAGAACGATCGAGAACCCGTGAACGATGATCATTAGATAATGTGAATGAATAACATCCCACTGACTATCCAAAGCCACAGGTGTACAATATGGGAAAAGATGGACGAAGAATAAACCGGGACCGCGTACCAACTTTTCCAGCTGCTCAACCAACTGACAGCTGAATGCGTGTTGGTATGCCACGTAGATCTAAGCCAATGACTTGCAAACAGAAAGCCAAGTGTCTGAAGCACTCCTCCACAAGTTGTACAAAGGCACAGACACAAAATTACTGAACAAATGAGGGCGTACTCACTTAATAAACTCCGCGCCTAGTTGGGTTAGATTCCTAATGCTGGCTTCGGAATAGTCGTTAGTTGGATCATGAGATCGTACACCAAGCGTATACACTGGGTTGTGTTCCAGGAACAAAATAGTATGTGCGCATGCTTCATCTGAAGACTTCAAGATTTGCACAATCGCTTTTTGCAACATCCATGCCGGAGTATAATGCACACGTCCAAGGTAGAAACAGGTGATGGATGAAGACATGATAATGGCTACTATAAGCCTAAAAAGGGATAAAAAGAAACAATGCGAGGAAACTGCAGACGCAAAGGTACAATGTAGTACATTAATGGGGTTTGAATTAGAAGTAAACGTCGATGGGCAAGCCACTCAGTGTAGGAGGTATAGGCTTATTCAGAGCGAGGGAGGGATCACAACTATTTAGGAGGAACCTTACCAAAAAAGGTTGTTGCAGCGGAAGTAGCACTGTTCTGAGCCCCTCATCCTAAATACGTGCAGGGAGGATACGGCAGACACAAGAAGAAAAACGAGACTGTACATGGTTCTCATAGAAAAGTGAATAGCACACATTAGAAATCCGTGAGAGTAAGGTTAGTTCGAGATGCGGATGTTCTTCGAGCTGGCTGATTTGGCTGCAAAGTTTGCAACGTCATCACTTGGATCTGTAAGTGGCCCGCGTAAATCGCACTGATGATGTTGTCTAGCCTGAGGATGAAACGTTTGCAGACAAATCAGCCGGCTCGGAAAACACCCGCATAACCTCACACATGTACACATGTTGGTTAGAGGTGAGAGACGCTTCAGTCAGGGCGCTGCAATGTAATACAATAATAAAAACAAAGAAAAGACAATAAATAATAAAAATAAGAAGAAATCGTATCATTCATTTATCATGCATTGACTATGAGATCGTGTTGGAAGGGGAGGATAAAAATGAGGCAGACGGAAAAAGAAACTCACAGCACAAACGCAACTAAGCTCGGCTCCATACCATGTCCACAAGTGTCTTCAACAAAATGTATTCGTTGTTTTTCGGATTCAAGTCCGGAAACAGGAGGCACCGACCGAAGTTAGGGTCTTCATTTCCCTCAGCTCGGCCTCTCATCTTCCACTCATACCACGACCGTGCAAAAACAAGGAACATCGCGTGTCGGTGGGCTGGCATGCGTTACACTTGACTAAGCCATCGGAGCCTGGTGCGTGATATGACAATGCTGTATGGCCCACGAGCTCTTACTTTATAAAATATGCGACGCCGAACACGCTCACTGATGTGATGTTCTTACCAGACATCAACTAAAATGCATAAACAGTGATGGTTGAGCGTAACTAGCGTATTTACGTCTGACGATCTCATGGGCCCCGTTTCACAACACTAGATCAGGGTAAAAAGGACGGTATCCGGGATAACCTAAAAACATCAAGGAAACCCGTTATTTCAGCAATCAATCGACTAATTTCGACTGCGCATTGATTTTGAAGATTATGAAACCTTCTATTCTTGCACATGACTGCCAACAAACGGAGGTTCGGCTAGGAAGTTACTAATTTTACCAGTTGAACTACGTTTTTTAGAGGCCGAAGGACATTAAGCGACCTAACAATTTGGTAAAAGTCTGGGGCAGTTGTACAGCGTTTTGACGGCGTTTGGCTAACCTGTTCTTCTCGGTCAACGGCATTTGATTGTTCTTCGGCTGAGCTAAATGTCTCGCGGAAAATTTTGTGTTTAATTCAGAACAGCGAGAAAATTTGGAAATTTTTGTGAAGTTTCGTCGCAGTTAGACCCACAAAATATCAAATAAACACCGTCACTATTTGCAAATAATCAGTAATCGCCTTAACAGCTAACATATAAAATCAATTGGTGGCGGCTCGCAAAGGAATCCGTGGCTCTGGAGGCCAGCCCTGTCTTCTGCACCTTCCTAACATGCACGCCAGTGGAGAATAACCCGCACTACATAACAGTTGGATATCAGCCATGGCAGTGCGGTACCGTCGCCCATGGCTCAGTGATGTAAGTCGCTGGTCCGCAAGAGTAAGGTCGTAGATTCGAATCCGGCAGGATTTGGCGGGTGCGCGTTACTGTCGAGCCCCAAAAGGAAGAAACGGCCGCCTAGCGCTATCCTGGATATGTGGTGGCTGGCTACCTGGGTCTAACTGCGACGAATCTTCAAAAAATACCAAATAAATCCCGTTAATACCTACAATTTGGAAGATCTAACAATGGCGACGGGAATGAAATTTTCCGCTGAATATTCTTAAAAGCAAGTTCTTCAGTAACAATCCCAGATGAAAGCACAGATAAAAATGATTGAAAGTATGACGCAGTGCCTGAATGCACAGGCAAATGGAGCAGCTACGTGGGACACGAAGGCTTTTTCACTTGATCCTTTTACGAATTCAATCACTGAATTTCATTATGATGCTGATTCCGTATGCGCTTGCAAGGCGTCGTTCCAAAGCTCTGAAGAAATGTTCCGGACGGACTTCAATCGTCAGGATAAGGACGATTATGGGGCACAAGGAAACATGGTTAATCATGAGTGTGAACTTTTCAAGTTACGCTCTTTGACGGAAGAAGAGTTTAAATGTCTCACATGTGTCAGTGCATTGCAGTCTACAAACAACGCGGAAATCCGCACTCGACTACTCGGTAAGTTAGATCAAAATCCCATTTTGACAATGAAGTCTCCCTTAGGCGAATGCAAGCGGTTGATCACTTTGAAACACAAGACCGCCATGATTGAACAGTGTCGCCCAGTCAAAGCCGATAACGTCATGCTGTGAAAAAGGCAAGAAATGCTAGCTCGAATAAGCCTTTCAACAGAGCTCCGAACAACCCGCCTACACCATGCTGTGTGTGTGGTGAGTGCCATTTGGCACGTTACCGCAAATTTAAGCGTCATATTTGTAATAAGTGCTACAAACGTGGCCACAGTGAAGATTTTTGCAATTAGTCCAGGCCAAAGAATGTTAAGCAGTCTTACCGAAGGAATATCCTCCGAAGGCCTGACGCCGAATTGCTGTCAGTGATTGCCGCCTTTTAAAGTGACCTAGACCAAGCCGCAGATCCATCAGTGTTCATCAACAGCATCCCAACCGGGATGCAGTTCCAAACAGCCTCAGACACAACGAGTATTTCCAAGAACACTTGGAATCACATAAAGAGACCGAAGAGGATTGAACGTAAAAAGTCGCCCGCAACGCTGGTCGGAGAAAAAACTTGCAACACTGCATTCTAAGGTGTGAAACAGATCGTAACATGTTACTTCACAGACCGACAAAAGTTAAATCCCATTAAGGATTAACTGGAAGAAAAAGATAGCGGTGCTCCGCGTTCCAATCATTCAAATTTGAAATCCAGGACAAACCTATCTAGTAAACGCAAGTGTGTCGACAGAACACATGACGAGGTAACAGGAACGGAAATTTGCATACTTAGTGGAAGACGGCCATGCAAAGAACACAGCTCAAAGCAAAGCAGTGCCGTCGCGAAGAAACAAATCCAATGCGCATGGCAAAACAAACGGAACGGAAAGCTGCGGTGGCAACGGTGCGTTAGGAGTTAAACCGGACGGACAGCAACGACGGTTTCAAAACGGCGAACAAAATACCATAGGCTGCGCAGCACATTCCTGTAAAAAACAATCAATAAATCCACAACAGCAGTATACCAGCCATTAAACTGATCCTTCCCTGCCATACAACCATGATGACCTATGGAATAAAAAATAATAGGAGAGACGGCTGGGTGGAATTACCTGAAAACCTTAATGCCGTAAACATACATTCAGGGTCAAGGTGCCTACACCTTGTGTTAGCAACATACCATAACAAACAGCTGGCTATCGTGCATAGATAAGGTGGCATCAGCGAGCCAGTTTCCTTGCGGCTTTCACTGCCCTGAGTCATAATCAGCCGCTATCCTGCAGATAACTCGGCACCAAACACACTTTAAACAGGCAGTCCGAGTAGACGATTGCAGCAGACGCGACACTGGTGCCGACCGCGAACAACGACCTGTAAAGTCTCGAGGAAAGCACAAGTCGGTTGACGTGTATTTCGGACCGGAATGTGAGACGGATCAAAGGCACCAAGTTTGGTTGTATTTGGCTTCATATCACGCTGCCAAGTCAATTTCTGTCCACCACGAGCTTAGCACCAGCCTACACCTGGCAGACTAAACAAGACCCTCCTAGATAACCTGTGACCAGGCATAATAGTACGTGCCCAAGCCAACCACTTATTCAGCACTATCCGTTGTTCTAAGGAATTGGCTTGAGGATCACTGCCTAGCACTCGCCTATGTACATCATCGTTGCGGACACGCTGGTGCCATCCGACAGCAGCAATGCTCCGCAAACAGCGATGATCGAAGACTTGATGCCTCAGATCTTCAAACTGAAGGGGCCAAGTCTAACTACCATAGAGCAGAACGGCCCTCACTGTGGCCTTGTAAACACGGCCCTTCAGACGAAGAGAAACCTCTTTCTGTTACCAATGATGTCCCAGATATGTAAAGGCAGTTCCGGTCTTTTACAATGTGTGAACTGACCTCAGTGTCTATGCACCCATCGTTGCTGATGCAGCTGCCAAGGCAAGTGAATCGATCAATCACATAGAGATCCTTGTTATCAAGGCTCAAGGCGCGACCAAGTGGCTGGTGGTCCTGCAGCACTTGGAAGTGTGAAGCGCATACCAAATAATGGGAGCACTCTAGATAGCCTGTTCAGGGTTGACTGGGCCGCCGCAACATCGCCAAAAAGCAAGACGATATTGTCCGCATAATCGAGATCAACTAACCTTTCACCAGGCAGGACCTCGACGCATACATGCTGGGATTGCTCAAGGGACCGATCCGTGATACAGAGCACGAGGAAATTGAACAAAAATGGGGAAATCGGATTAACCTGGAGAACGCTACGTTTGGTCAGAATAACATCCGGTAAATCACTGCAGATCCTGATGCGGCCTGCAGTCTTCGAGTGTAGAGCACGTGAGATGTTCACATATTTCGTGAGAACACCTTTGCGCGCAAGTATTCCGTACAGAATGCAGCCATTGATATGAATCGAACGCACTCTTGAAATCGAGGAACTTAGCTATTGTCGGTATGCGTGGCGCTGCTTTAGCACTTGTTGCAGACTGAATATATAGTCTAAGCAGCCACATCTTTCGCGGAAACGTGCCTGCTCTTCCCTACTTCGAGATTCCAGTTCGACAGTGAGACGAGGAACGAGTGT